CCGGGCTGGTACAGCTGCCCGGACTGGTACAGCTGCCCGGGCTGGTATAGCTGCCCGGACTGGTACAGCTGCCCGGGCTGGCACAGCTGCCCGGGCTGGTACAGCTGCTCGGGCTGGTACAGCTGCCCGGACTGGCACAGCTGCCCGGGGCAGGTACAGCTGCTCGGGCTGGTACAGCTGCCCGGACTGGTACAGCTGCCCGGGCTGGTACAGCTGCCCGGGGCAGGTACAGCTGCCCGGGCTGGTACAGCTGCCCGGACTGGTACAGCTGCCCGGGCTGGTACAGCTGCCCGGGCTGGTACAGCTGCCCGGGGCTGGTACAGCTGCCCGGGGCTGGTACAGCTGCCCGGGCTGGTACAGCTGCCCGGGCTGGTACAGCTGCCCGGGGCTAGTACAGCTGCCCGGGCTGGTACAGCTGCCGGGCTGGTACAGCTGCCCGGACTGGTACAGCTGCCCGGGCTGGTATAGCTGCCCGGACTGGTACAGCTGCCCGGACTGGTACAGCTGCCCGGGCTGGTACAGCTGCTCGGGCTGGTACAGCTGCCCGGACTGGCACAGCTGCCCGGGGCAGNACTCTTTTTCTTAAATTCAATGATGACTGAGCGAATTGTGTTTGCCGGAGGTATTGATGACTGAGCGAATTGTGTTTGCCGATCGTTAAACTAAAATTCAGAACCCAATGCACCTCGAAAAGAGTAACCGATGTCTCTCATAGGCTGTAATATGAGATCTCAGCCTTTATAGCTTACAAGCTCAGTGAACCTGATATTTCATAAATGATTGTATTAAATAGCTAACTTCGGTCACTAGAAACAAACCTTGGAGGCGACTAGCAGCAGCATCGTGCTTCTGTCAAGCACCTTCCTAGCGGCGGTCATCTGAGCCCTTCGTCTCTCATCCTTGAGGTCGTTCTGGCGGTCTGCTGAGAGGTGCGCTAGCTCCACCATCTCCCCGCCAAACTGGCTGAACGCCGACACGAACTCCGTGAAGTTCGTCACGCTTTCCAGCCGCGACATCGAGTGGCTAATCTGATCATGGCGCCGGCGAGAACAGGTTAGCATTAACTATGACTTGAAAAAATAAGAATCTTCAACGTGAAATCGACTCTGGTGTTGGTACATAGGAAGAACTCACAAGCGGAGACATTAATTAGTAGAAAAGAGTACCCACATGAAAAGGAGTCATGAACTGATGCTCATAATATTCACAGAAGGCACATGCAATTCATCCGCCAAACATTACAAAATATCGACTGCTTGCGACAATAATGCGAGTTCCATGAGAAGATCGATTTATGGAACGGAGAAACAGAAATGAGATTTCCCATTCGATGTGGCCGGCACCAAAGCAAGAACAAACTGAGTGAGTTAAATGAATTGATTCGTGTGAAATCAAACAATATTGTAAATTGATAAGAATGGAACAAAGCAGCGTCATCAGGACTGAACTTTATGGCATGACGCCGCTCTGAAGCTTAAGTCGTCGTAAGCAGCCATTCCGAAATGCTATCGTATATTCAAATTAATGAATGCAAAAAGTTTGATATCTTTGAAATCAGGAACATAATGGAAACGTCACTTGCAGGTGCTATATTGTGCTAACACGGCCAGTTTGGACGTTAACACGGCGAGCTCACGTGTTAACACGCCTGCTTACGTGTTAACACGGCCTGCTTACGTGTGACACGGCCAGCTCACGGTCACGTGTGACACGGCCAGCTTACGTGTTGACACGGCCTGCTTCCGTGTGAGCACGGCCTGCTTACGTGTTAACACGGCCTGCTTACGTGTTAACACGGCCTGCTTACGTGTTAACACGGCCTGCTTACGTGTTACACGGCAAACACATTCGGACACATCACGTGTGCATGTAACACATTCGTATACATCACGTGTGCAGGTAACACATTCGGACACGTGTGCAGGTAACACATTCGTACACACCACGTGTGTAGGTAACACATTCGGACACATCACGTGTGCAGGTAACATATTCGTACACATCACGTGTGCAGATAACACATTCGGACACATCACGTGTGCAGGTAACACATTCGGACACATCACGTGTGCAGATAACACATTCGGACACACCACGTGTGCAGGTAACACATTCGTACACATCACGTGTGCAAGTAACACATTCGTACACATCACGTGTGCAAGTAACACATTCGTACACATCACGTGTGCATACACGGCACCACGGCACCGTTTACCTTGTCCTTGGCGAGTAGCAGCTGCTTGACCACGACAGTGTCTGCCAGCAGCAAGACTCGCGTGACGCTCGCCAGCAGACACCGCGCCGCGCGCACCAGACTGCCTCTGTACTCTATGGGTCTGCCGGGACCCATCAGACCCACGGGGTCTATGGATGTTACAGGGGTAGGGTCTGGGGGACCCATGTGAGGGGGGGAGTTGCCCACACCCATCAGGGGAGGGATGATGTGGGGTGGAGGCAAAGGCCCAGAGTTCGAAATGCCGCCGACTGATGAAGAGAAAAAAAGGAAACATTGAAATAATTAACTAATACCAATAAATACGACTGGATTACATACTAATCAGAAGGATGGAATCATGATTGCTGGCCCATTAGCACGGGTTTGTTTTTGTACGCAAAGTAACACGTTGTATCATGCAAGGCGATCCTGCGACAAATGAAACTAAGTCGTAAGTCAGACAACGCGGGACAAAAAAGCGGACCATGAAATGATGCCTGAAGTTCCTCCGGCGTCAGGGAAATGTGTTCCGGAACCTGGAATTGTGGGAAGAGAGAGGAAGAGAGTTTGAGGAAGGGAGGCATTAAGGAAGAGTAGAAAAAAATGCCCGAACGAGAGAGAACGAGGAGAGTACGATTAGGAGAGGGAGAAAGCAGGGTACGACATTAGGAGAAAAGGAAAGAGGAAATGAGAGATAATTACAGCAAGAGAATTAAATATCGAAGGGAAATGAGAGAAATTAAAGAATGAAGGAAAATTATAGAATCAAAAGAGCGAGTAAGAGCGAGCGCGACATTAAGAGAGGGAAGAAGAGCAGGGGACTACGAGAGAGAGAAAGAGCGAGTACTAGCGAGCACGACATTAAGGGAAGAAGAGCAGAGGACTACGATAGAGAGGGAGAGAGAGGGAGAGAGAGGGAGGGAGAGAGGAAGGGAGGAGAGAGAGGGAGAGAGAAGAGAGAGGGAGAGGAGAGGAGAGGAGCAACCTTATCACATGTTAGGCAGTAATCTGGACGCCATCGATCAAGGGACGGCCAACCGTGCACGTGTTGCGCCTTCCTGACCTTCTCCTGCGAACTTCCGGCCTTCATCACCGATCTGCACGCCTTTCTATCCTCCTTATTTCAGGCCTTCATAGCCTTCTCTTGCGACCTTAGGCTTTACAGATCAACTTCGATCTGTCTAATTTCCTTAAATTCTCCTAATACTGTCAGGCCTTCATTGATTTCACTTGCGACATGTATGCTCCTTTGGTGCTTTCTTGTGACCTTCAAGCCTTTCCGATCATTTGTGTTTGTCACAACTCTGCGGACTCAACTTGAAAAAATGAGGCCTTCTTCCAGGTCATTGTCAGCTTCCCATGTTGGTCCTTCATTAATTAAACTTTAGCAGGACGACGCGCAGGCGTTCTGAGCTCTTCGATGTCATTCATAGTTTCTTGATAACATTTCTGCCAGGAGTACTTTTCACATGCATTTTTTTAGATTTTAATGTGGTGCTTAAAATGAATTTGCGACGCAGCAGTTGGTCTGCTGCAGGCACAACTGCAGGTCATACGCACCTGAGTTCGCGACGCAGCAGTTGGTCTGCTGCAGGCACAACTGCAGGTCATACGCACCAGAGTTCGCGACGCAGCAGTTGGTCTGCTGCAGGCTGGATATGGAGCAGGTCAGCGGAGGGATGCAGTTAGACGTCATCTGAGCCTCGGCGCTCTCGCACAGCTTCTCTAAGCTGCTGATCTGCACACGGCAAATAGTGAAGGCAATAGTGTACCAATTTACCAGGCTGCTAAGCTGCTGATCTGCACACGGTAAATAGTGAGGGCAGCAGTGCAGCAATTTATCAGTAGCACAAACGTCATGCTTTAATGCACACTCCTCATTCGTTTTAAGATGAGCGCAAAACTAGTGTGCGAAGCATCCCTGTAAGCCAACGGGAACAATATGACGTGATCGTAAAGTCTTATAAGCAAGTAATATATTGTTAACGTTGCATTGACTTGGGAATGACAATGTAGTGAGGAGAGTAAAGATATTATCGATGATGTGTGGGTTATACAAGTTTGTTTTGAAATAAATGGGGAAAGAATAACACTTCACTAAGCGTTAATGTTTATGGCACAATTTCCCAAGCATACCCGAGGTTCTATAGGGCAACAAATGAGTCCTTAAGAAGTTCATCAATGCGTGCCATGGGAGTTGGAGACTTCATTGTAATTACTGATTAAGAATGATTCATGATATAACTGTAATAAAATAGAGACGAATGCAGCCAATAACGACGAAGTATCGACAGGAACAATTTGAGCCGTGAATTGATGATATATTCCTGAATAAATAACCTGATCTCCATAATTTATTAATTTCATTTAACAGAAGGCATTGCATACTTCAATACCTCTTGTTATCTTTAGAAGTGAAACGATGAACACCAGGGACATGAAATTTTACGCGTTTAAGTTTATCGTAAAAGAACCGATAAGCTGGAACATAGTACGACAATATATAAAGCAAGCTTTGTTGTTTATTTTAATACTGAATTGAATTATTTATTTTTAAAGCGGAAGTTTCATTCATCGACATAACAACCAATGGTTGCAAAAACCACTCGAATATAATAAAGCTAAATGCCCCCATACCGCAGCTTGAACTGGATACACAAGTGCAATCATAGCGAGATGCTCAGGCATTTAATGTGCGAACAACTCACGGCTGGAGTTCCTTTTGGGATATTTGGTGTTCAGTTAAGGGAGACAATAACATAGTAAATATGATAGCCAATATGCAAATGTACTCCAATATCGTCTATTGGTTCAGCATCGTGCCGTTCCGCTAAGGCAAAGCTGGTACAGGCCGTCGCAGCTCGAAGCTGCTAGCATTCCCGCGGCTCCTTCCCTCCAAACGGCACATAAAGGATGTGTTTATGGTTCTACATCGTCCAAGGTAATATAATATAGAAATTAATTGAAATACTTGACAGAAATGGAACTGAAGCATACAAGCAAGTGCCAAGCGAGAACTGTGAAACAGGCACATTGAAGCCATTGAATCTCTTATGGCACAAATATATTATTGCAGCTGTAAAAATTCTAAAGAATTACCAAATGGTGAAGTGGCAGGATATCGTTCGTATTTTCCGTGTTGGATGGGTTATGCCGCATCTCAGCGTTGTATAATGTAGAAGCTTTCTATGAGAATCTTTTAGAACTAAGTTAATTCGATTAGACATCCGAAGTTATGGAATCTTTACAGATCATGAGCAGTTTTTTTCACTGCATGGATCCAAATGCATACAGAAAGGCATATTCGACCGCAAAAATTCAAACAGAATGCAAAAATTCATAGCCTAATTATATTGCAAGGTTTCTTTTTAATTTCTTAATTTTTAAAGAATGCGTTTTCTATCATAGATTGACCTTCAAGTAAAGGGACATGAACAACGTTTTGCTTTTAAGAAAAAGGATCCAGATTTTGGTTTGATTTTGAGAGGCAGTATTTTCAAAGAATGACCGATTTTTAAGCTAAGATTTTTCGGATATTTGAAATTTAATTGAGCTTCTTCATAAATCTTTGACGTTGAGTTCAAGCTTTCTGAAGATGGTTTAACAAAGATGAAAATGTGTTGTGTTGATGGCTTGAGTTTAAGGAAAGTCTATTCGATGAAGGTTTCCTCAAAATTCGACGAGCAAGAAAACTTGGCTGGTCTTCCAAGTTTCCATCAATCGATTACCGGCTTTGGCGATCCATCTTTAGCGAACCAAACTTCCTTTCTAATGATCCCAAACAAGGAAAAATGTTCTCGCTGCTCCCAGGTGCGTGGTGATACGGATCTTTCTTGTGGAACACGAACCCCTCGAGCTTCTGCTCCAAAAAACAACTCCCCATTTTTTACGGAGGCGTTTTTGGCAGTTTGATGGAGGGTACACAGGAGCGGTTATTTCGGCGTTGCCAGATATATTCTCAATATTTATTAATAGAATAAAGTTACAGAGTGTAATTCTTTGATCATATTAATATTATTTAGAATTGGAGTTAAATATTTGTTTTGTTCTTTTGCATAGAGACAGTTCTCGATGATTAATCTTCGTTACCATTGAAATGTTTTCTCATATATAAATTAAATTAAAAAATTTGTGGCGCGCTCATATATTTAACCTATTTCAGTGTTTTAATCCACTTTTTAATAGAGAATTGAAAAAATTAAAACTTAGTCAATCAAGAACTATGAGCGAGTGAGAATCTTTTCGATTATTAGATTCCGGTCAAACGAACGACTTTTATCATTCCTGGTAAACTTTTTAAAAACGAAATCTGTTTAGGGAGCAAACTTGTATGGGTGACCGGGCTGAAAAATGAAAACGCGTAGCAAAGTTCGGCTTTGAGAGCTTCAGAAAATGATAGACTGAACAGGAAAGCAGGGAAGGTCAACAAAATATTAACCAAACAAATGGACCTGTGTAAAAGAAAATAAGCAGACAAAGTTTGATGAAACTTTAACTAAAAGAGTTTGTTGCTTTATACTTCGCATAAATTAAATTTTTCTGCTTCTATCTTTGCAAATTTTTGGCGTCGATATTTAGACTTAAGAGGTGCGTCAGATTTTTCTTGGCAGTAGGTACAAGCTAGATTTACCTGACTGCAAATAAAATGTGGCTTTTCATTGCCAAGTAACCATTGTCAGTAAATTTTCCATCAACTCGAATGAAAACTCGATCCAAAATAAAAGAAGTTCATACTCCCTGATTCTATTTTGGCAGTTTGATGACAAATGGAGAATACACGTAAGAATTCATAACCAAGTTCAAACAATAAGGCTGTGGATAACCATCTACATTTAACTTAGCTTCCAAAACAGAGTGCATAACGGTGAACAAACTAATAGATTTATTATTTGAATAAAAACACACAGAATTATATTAATCACTGCAATGTCAAATTCGAGCGGTTTCCGGTAACATAAATCTACTAAATCTCAGGTTACGCCTCAAAATTTGTGTGTTAGAATTGATAAAATAAATAAAAGTGTCCATGGGAGAATACTCCTTACTACAGAAATCTTTACTTTATAATACTTTACTTCATGTATGCTCACTCATTCGTACCCTTTAGACCAGTGGTTCCAAACTGTGGATCGTGATCCCCAATGGTATATCATGCATGAGAATTTTTCAAGCTTGAAAAATTGATGGAGATCATGGAGACACTAGCAAGAGTCCATGCACTCTCCATGGACCATGGAGAGTCCAATTGCACGCACCACATTAATCTTGCTGGATAGAAGCTAAAACATTCTAATCAAGTCTCCAAGTTTCCCAATAACTTCTTAGATGTCGCAGAAGCACACATGCAACGTTTGTTTTTATAATCTCTGGAGTGATTAATATTGTTACAACAACAGAGCCTAAAAATAATCTGAATAATGTCCAACTATATTTTGAGAAAAAAATTCGCATGTAAAGTTGTTCGTTGCTTGCACGGATGAAGCACTCGGCATGCTTTGCCTATATGATCTTCGAAGACGCTCCCTGCTGAACTCCAAGTCACATTGACAACAGAACTGTGCTACGCATCGTCAAACTTATTGAAGGAGCACTGAACGCCAAGCAATTTCGTTGTTGTGCAATGACATATTTGAGTTCTGTCCACCAAGACTTGTGAGCTAGTTGTTAAAGCCAAATATTCTTGCTTGTGTATTTGAACTTTTTTAAAAATTGCAGGCATGTATGGCCGCTCAAGGGAAGAAAATGGAGAAGTTATCAAAGAACATTTGGTAGCTGATAAATGTAGTCTTGAATATTAACTAGATAGGTTTCAAATTCTAAAAGACTCAACAGGCAACTACAGTGCCGCGATATAAGAAGCATAATGCACAACAATGCTATCGGTAGATGATTTCATTGACAAGGTAACTCTCCGGAAATTGAGAAAATGCCTGTATATGTTGCTCCAGTGTCTGTATCAAGTTTGGGAGATAAATACCTTAAAAAATAGCTACATTAGGAGATCGTGAAATACTTCATGATCCTACAAGAAGAGTATAACAGCTGTCTTCACGATACTGCATGATGAAAGTACGATTGTACTAAGAAGATGCAGGAGCATCATTATCATCAGAAAACATTAATATGTCATTAGTAGTTAATAAATTTAGTAAATTAAACCGATAACAATCAGCAGCCAGTTATTATTGCTTCTTCTGTTGTGATGAACGGGAAAAAGTATCTGCACTGATGAAAATATGTGTTCTCATTAAGCCATGAATGTATGGGGTCATGACAGGTGTGGTAACAGGGAAAAAGATCACGCACTAAGTAGTTTGTGAACCGCTGCTCCAGAGTCTAGACAAACATCGTTTATCCGATGTCCCTCAACAGGAACAAGAAGCCAGTCAAGTGCACCTCAAGGCATTTCTTGGTCACTCGGAGTGATAGTTAATGAGAAGCCTCAGGTCTACAAAACTTTATTGTAGTCGCAGGAACACAACTAACTCTCTGGCTGATAAATTTCAAGGGATCATTAAAAGTAAATATGTCGTAACGCATCTATAGCACAAAGATTCCAGTGTGTATCGAGCTCGAACACATCAATAAGTCCAGCAATTAAAACACATAGGGGTCACCTGTACACAGTGCCTGATAAAGTGCACAAAACCCACGAAGGGTGCTCTGATTGTAATAAAATTATCAGTTGAATGATTACAATGTCAGACATAGGATTAATTCGGAGGCTGTTTTATATTGAACACCTAAGTTTCTTTAGTTAAATGCCGGACATGCAAGAAGGGTTTACACTTTAGGGTTTGTACTCTGATAGCCGATTGAAGCTGCATTGCACTCTGTATTTTACAGAGTTAGTGTTGTTTGTACACTCAGCAAGAAAAATCTATTGTAATCATTTTGTTTTTAATGTGACAAGCTAGACGCTCACGCAATGTTCAGCATGAATTAAGTTGTAAGCAATGAGCAGGAAACCACATCCCCGTGTTGTGCGAGACAAGAAGTTCAGTAGAAAACGTACAAGCTACACAAAATTGTGTAATGATTGCTCAGCATAAGCATGCCGGCAACTCAACGAGAGATTTCACCATTAGTGTCAGGTTAACCCGCAAATTAATGCCAGGTTATCCCGTAAATTAGCGCCAGGTTAATCCGTAAATTAGTGCCAGGTTAACCCGTAAATTAGTGCCAGGTTAACCCGTAAATTAGTGTCAGGTTAACCCGTGAATTAGTGCCAGGTTAACCCGTAAATTAGTGTCAGGTTAACCCATAAATTAGTGCAAGGTTAACCCATAAATTATTGCCAGGTTAACCCGTAAATTATTGCCAGGTTAACTCGTAAATTAGGGCCAGGTCAACCCATAAATAAGTGTCAAGTTAACCCTTAAGATGACCCTGGGCCTCAGGTCGGCCTGGCCAGAGCTGTGTGCTCGCTCTGATCGACAAGGAATTTCGCTTTGTTGTCGTTTTTTGTTGAGAAACATGGATTGCTCCTTGTAATTAGTTAGGCTATATTTTGAGTTACTAGTTCAGTTATTTTGCACACGCTTTTCCATTTACTTCTCAAATTAAAAGTTTTTATCGCTAATCAAATTCCCCTGTATGTTTCCACTCAAACCTGTGGGCCAATTTATGTAGGCCTCTTTTATTTCCACGGGACGAAGATCAATGAAGTC